AAAAAAAATTCTTTCGTTCTTTTCGTCGCAGAAAAAATTCTTTCGTTCTGTCAGTTGCAGAAAAATTTCTTTCGCTGTGCTCGTCACTATCTATTCGTCGCATCTCTCTTAATTAATTTTCTTTTCAAAGATGTGAAATTGATCAATTAATTCACCTTTATTTTGTGTATTATACATAACATAATGATGAACAAATTGAGAACAAAAAAAAGAAAAAGAAAAGGAAAAAAAAGAAAGAAAAAAACAAAAAAAAACAAAAGAAAAAAACAAAGGAAAAAAGTAACCTAAAGAAAACAAAATAATTTTAAGAAAAAAAATTACCTAAAGATTAATGTTGACTGCCATATTTGTTAAGAATTGATCCAGTTGAGATGAGTCAAATGCATTGACCAGCCGAGTAATTCGTTCGTCCAATCGTCGATAGCAGGCCTTCTTCATCTTAATATCATGACCTTGGAGAATCTTCGCCATGTCCACTTCGAATTTCGATTGTTCACGACGAATTTTCTCTGCCAATTTCACGATATTTGGATGATTGATTGCGACGCGGTTCGCAAATGCATTGTGCCAGCCTCCCTAGAGAAAGTACTGAGTTCAGGGTACCCATATACTGAGAAAGCCTCAACAGGGTACCCGATATGGGTACTTCGAAAATTTTCAGTAATTATACTGACGTAGGTACTGCATTGGGTACCTATTGCAATATGTTTACTGAACAAGTACTTGCATGAGTACCCACACCTGCAATTTCACTAGGAAAAGCTCTACAGGGTACCCTAGATTTGTTGCGTTCTGTGTAGCAACTGTTCATTCACCGTTTTCTTTCGCATATACGGCTTCATATAAGCAACTCGAGGAAGCATAAGAAAAAAAATTTTTTCATACTAATTTTTTTAAGATTATTTTTCTTGACTATTTACTAGTCGAGGACATGCTGATCTCAATCGTAGATTGAGAGAGGACTACCTTGAAGTGGTCTGATGAAGATCCGACCAATTCGCGGCCGGTCAGATCTCGAAATTTGACCTGCTTGACTTTTCAGAATTGGAAAAATTAAATAAAATAAAACCCAAAAAATATCATAAATTGCTTTGAGAGAAACAAAAATGAAAAAGAGCCAGAGGTTAGTTTCAATCATCAACATACTGCAAGTTTGACAACAGGGTACCCAGAATTACTGAACAATAGTACCCGGTTGGGTACTTGGTCAGTACCTTCAAGTACCCATTTACTGGATGCTTTCCAGCAGGGTACTTGGTCGAGTACCTTATACGTACCTAAAAGTACTTTAAGGTACTTCAGTATCCGAAAGTTCCTGTGACATACTAGTAGCAGGGTACTTTTTCGGGTACCCTTAGCTCAGTGCATTCACTAGGGCTTCCACCGAATTGTTCGAACGAGATACAGCAGCGACGACACGATCATGCATATTCCATAATTTGTGATCAAATTGAGGCTTCTTTCGACCAGTTCCTAAGAAAGTCGATTATATTTCGTATTTCTTAAGAATGAAGAAAAAAAATTACCTCTTCTTTTTGGTTCATCAGTCCATGTTTTTTCAAAATAATCAAGTAAATCATCGGCGTCATCGTCGAATTGATTGGCAATTAATTCAAAGCCGGTTGTAATTTCATCTACTGGAACAAAAGCAAGAGCAATCAATTTTCTTACATTTAAACGAAAGTACTCATCTTCTTTATATTTTGTTACCAATCCTTTTCGTTGAACTTGCCGCCATATCGCTTGTGAAAAATGAAAGAAACATCCTATAACAAACATTTTGATTACTTGTTTTTTGACAATATTACAAAATACCTTTATGTAAAACGTTTGGCAACATTTCTCTAACGGATTTAATTGTACCAGTTTCGAAATCAGTCATAATTGATTCAGGCTGAAAATTGTCTTGTACTAATACTTTTTCGAAGAATGAATTGTAATCTTGAGCACTTTTACCAATTAATAATCCATAGACGAGCGGGATAATTGCATAAGTCATCATCGCGTGTAACGTGAATAATTGATAATAATCATCAGGACACACCTACGTCAAAGAAAATTAGAAAAAAAAAGATATAAACTTTTAATTGACAGCTTACTTTGAATGTTCCATCAGCGAACCAATGTTTATTTTGCTTCAGAATCGATAAATTTGTTTTTGTTGTAAAGATAATTAAATTTTTGTCTTCGTGCAAGACGAAGTCTTCATCGCGATACGTCTTTCTTAATTTTTCTGGTAAACAACCATCGGCATCGACTATTTCAACAGTACGCTGTCGTCGAATCATTAGCATAAGTGCTTCATTTTTTGGAAGTTCACCAGCAGTACTCAACGGATACGTACGCAAAGCAGAATGAATAATGGAGCTGGTTGATACATCTGTTGTTACGGCACGAGCTTTAATTTCATTTTTTAATTGAATAGCAGGCACACGATCAGGTTGAGGAGCATGACAGTGGGCTGTTGGTTGTGAGAGAAATACGTCCATAGATAAATTGGTATGACATCGAGCTTCCCAGGTCCAAAAATCCGACGACGGATCCTATCGGATCCGATCGGACCCGAAAACCGACAAAAATCCGATCGGAATCCGGGTTACAGAATTCCGATCGGATCCGACAATCGGATACTCATACGTTTCCGATAATTTCCGATCGTCGAAATCCCCATTTATTCCGACGGTCGGATACCGATCGGATTTCTATAGGATGATATCAATCTTTCAACCGAGGTCCAAACAACCCGACAAAAATCCGATCGGAATCCGGCTTGCAGAATTTCGATCGGATCCGACAATCACATACTCATACGCTTCCGATAACTTCCGATTGTTGAAATCCCCATTTATTCCGACGGTCGGATACCGATCGGATTTCTATAGGATTCCATCAATCTTTGAATCTGTGGTCGATTTTATTTATTATGATAATGTTTGGAATCTAAATTTTACCTTATGTGAGCCGGAAAGTTTCATGATTTATAGCCACTGAAACGTAGTGTGTTTAATATAGGTTTTGGATTAAGGTGCAGCAGAATAGTTATTTTTTCTAGTATATAATGCCTTGATCAATGAACTTATAAAATGCGGCTACCCGCGAGAAAGCTTGTTGATCTGATAACAACAAACTGTCTGTTTTCAACATGAGCACACAGGTTTCTATAAAGTACGAACTAAAAGAAGTGCTGAAGTACAGAAGTAGTAAGTTCGATTCTATGTTTCTGCCCAATTGACCAAAATATACACTAAAACAACATGTCGTTATCCGTTGTGACAAAAATCGTTTCAAACGTAGAATCTTTTCAGTATATTCATAAATTCATAAAACAGAAAATTTTTAGTTTCGAAACTGTTTAAAAAGGTCTGAATATGATATTGAATTCAGTTAAATTATTTCATTTCTCGAAATGGCAACAAATGTATACCTAGATATCTCCATTCGAGCTTAGCACTGATATAAGTTACTATCCTATTGGATCACATCGGATTTTGAAAATTCAGTTCTGGAAATGAGCAAATATGCCTACCTTCATATCTCGCTTGGAGCTTATCATTAATATAAGTTTCTACCATTTGGATCCGATGGGGATTTTGAAAACTGAGTTCTGGAAATGGCAAAAATGTACATCTACGTATCTCCATTCGAGCTTAGCACTGCTATAAGTTTCTATCCTATAGAATCCGATCGGATTTTGAAAATTGAGTTTTCGAAATGCCGAAAAATCCAAACTTCCATATCACCATTGGACTTTATCTTTGATATAGGTTTCTACCCTATAGGATCCGATCGGACTTTGAAAATTCAGATCTGGAAATGGCCAAAAAGGCGTACCTATATATTTCAATTGGAGCTTAGCATTAATATACGTTTCTACCCTATAGGATCCGATCAGATTTTGAAAATTAAGTTCTCGAAGTGATCGAAAAGCCATACCTACATATAACTATTAAAGCTAAGCATTCATACAAGTATCTATCCTATAGGATCCTATCGGATTTTGAAAATTGAGTCCTGGAAGTGATGAAAAAGGCATATCCACATATCTCCATTGGAGCTTACCATTGATATAAGCTTCTATCTTATAGGATCCGATAGGATTTTGAAAATTAAGTCTGGAAGTGGTCAAAATGCATACCTAATATAACTATTAAAGCTAAGCATTGATGTAAGCATGTATCCTATAGGATCCGATCGGATTTTGAAAATTGAATCCTGGAAGTGATGAAAAAGGCATACCCATATATTTCCATTGGAGCTTACCATTCATATAAGCTTGTATCCTATAGTATCCGATCGGATTTTGAAAATTAAATCCGAAAGCGGTCAAAAGGCATACCTACATATAACTATTAAAGCTAAGCATTCATATAAGTATGTATCCTATAGGATCCGACCGGATTTTGAAAATTCAGTTCTGGAACTGGACAAAAAGGCGTACCTATATATTTCAATTGAAGCTTAGCATTAATGTAAGCTTCTATCCTATAGGATCCGATCGGATTTTGAAAATTCAGTTCTGGAACTAGCTAAAAAGGCATACCTATCTATCTGTATTCCAGCTTGCCATTCATATAAGTTTCTATCCTATAGGATCCACTCGGATTTTGAAAATTGAGTTTTCGAAATGCCGAAAAATCCAAACTTCCATATCACCATTGGACTTTATCATTGATATAGGTTTCTACCCTATAGGATCTCATCGGATTTTGAAAATGCCCAAAAAGGCGTACCTATATATTTCAATTGAAGCTTAGCATTAATGTAAGTTTCTATCCTATAGGATCCGATCGGACACTGAGAACTGAGTTCTGAAATGGCCCAAAAGCCATACCTACATACTTCTCTTCAAGGTTAGCATTCATATAAGTTTCTATCCTATAGGATCCGATCGGATTTTGAAAATTGAGTTTTCGAAATGCCGAAAAATCCAAACTTATATATCACCATTGGAATTTACCATTGATATAACTTTCTATCCTATAGGATCCTATCGGATTTTGAAAATTAAGTTCTCGAAGTGATCAAAAAGCCATACCTACATATAACTATTAAAGCTAAGCATCGATATAAGTATCTATCCTACAGGATCCGATTGGATTCTGAAAACTGAGTTCTGCAAATGGCCGAAAAGGTATACCTACATATCTGTATTCAATCTTAGCATTGATCTAAGTTTCTATCCTATCGGATCCGATCGGATTTTGAAAATTGACTTCTGGAACTGGCCAAAAATGTATACCTACATATCTCGATTGGAACCAAGCATTGATATAACTATCTATCCTGTAGGATCCTATCGGATTTTGAAAATTGAGTCCTGGAAGTGATGAAAAAGGCATATCCACATATCTCTATTGGAGCTTACCATTGATATAAGCTTCTATCCTATAGGATCCGATAGGAATTTGAAAATTAAGTCTGGAAGTGGTCAAAATGCATACCTAATATAACTATTAAAGCTAAGCATTGATGTAAGTATGTATCCTATAGGATCCGATCGAATTTTGAAAATTGAATCCTGGAAGTGATGAAAAAGGCATACCCATATATTTCCATTGGAGTTTACCATTCGTATAAGCTTGTGTCCTATAGGATCCGCTCGGATTTTGAAAATTAAATCGGGAAGTGGTCAAAAGGCATACCTACATATAACTATTAAAGCTAACTACCAACGACAAAACGACTGCAAATCGTATTTTTTGGTGTAACTTTTGATAGAAACAAGATAGAGAGCTGCGGTTTTCACTGTTGGAAAGAGGAGATGAAGACGCATCGAAATGTATATTATAAGTTTCTTTAAATATGTTTTCTGAGGCTTTTTAAATCGATCATCTAAAAAAGGTAGCGGAAAAATAGTTTTTATGAAAAAGAAAAAAGAAAAAAAATGCTTTTTTTTACAAGAATTGCTAGAAAAATCGGCTTATAGTTTCGAGTAGAATACCTATAACTCCTAAATGATTGAAGCTAAGAATCTGAGCCTTGCACAGTTTTATAGATGTTCAATTATCACTTTCAATACATATCAGATAATTGAAAATTCACTATAATCACCTATTAAGAACGTTGTTTTTCAAAAAGCTCAATTGAAAACCTTAGAAAAACCAGGTCAAAAGGTCTATAACATATGACTCGATGCGTCTTCATCTCCTCTTTCCAATAGTGGAAATCGCAGCTCTCTATCTTGTTTCTATCAAAAGTTACACCAAAAAATACGATTTGCAGTCGTTTTGTCGTTGGTAGTAAGCATTCATATAAGTATGTATCTTATAGGATCCGATCGGATTTTGAAAATTCAGTTTTGGAAATGGCCAAAAAGGCGTACCTATATATTTCAATTGAAGCTTAGCATTAATGTAAGCTTCTATCCTATAGGATCCGACCGGATTCTGAAAATTGACTTCTGGAAAAGCCAAAAAGGCATACCTATATATCTGTATTTCAGCTTACCATTCATATTAGTTTCTATCCTGTAGGATCCGACCGGATTTTGAAAAGTGAATTCTGGAAATGGTCCAAAAGCCATACCTACATACTTCTCTTCAAGGTTAGCATTGATATAAGTTTCTATCCTATAGGATCCGATCGGATTTTGAAAATTAAGTGCTGAAAATGCCGAAAATGGCATACTTATATATCTCCATTAGAGCTTACCATTGATATAAGTTTCTATCCTATAGAATCGGATCGGATTTTAAAAATTCACTTCTGGAAATGGCCCAAAATTCATACCTACATATCTGCATTGAAACTTATCATTGATATAACTTTCTATCCTATAGGATCCGATCGGATTTTGAAAATTGAGTTCTAGAAATTGTCAAAAGTGTGTCTCTACATATCTCGCTTGGAGCTCATTGTTGATATAAATTTTTGTCCGATCAGATCCAATGAGATTTTGAAAATTGAATTCTGGAAATAGTCAAAAATACATACCACTATGTCGCGATTGAAAGCCATCGTTGATATAAGTTTTTATCTTATCGAATCCGATGGGATTTTGAAAATTGAGTTCTGGAAATGGCGAATAATGCATGCTTCTATCTCACATTGTGGCTTAGCATTGATATAATTTTCTATCCTATTGGATCCGATGGGATGGTGAAAATTGAGTTCAGAGGATGGCGAAAAATGCATATTTGTATTTCACATTGTAGCTTAGCATTGACATAATTTTCTATCCTATCGGATCCAATGGGATTTTGAAAATTGAGTTCTGGAAATGGCGAAAAATGCATGCTTCTATCTCACATTCTAGCTTAGCATTGATATAATTTTCTATCCTATCGGATCCGATCGGATTTTGAAAATTGAGTTCTGGAAATGGCGAATAATGCATATTTATATCACACATTGTAGCTTAGCATTGATATAATTTTCTATCCTATCGGATCCGATGGGATTTTGAAAATTGAGTTCTGGAAATGGCGAAAAATGCATATTTGTATCTCACATTGTAACTTAGCATTGATATAATTTTCTATCCTATCGG